CAGCGGGGACCCGCGTGGGGTGAAACGGGGGCCAACGCGGGGAGGCGGCCGGCAGAGCCGGGTGCTGCCCATGGGCCGGCCTGCGTGCCGCTCCTGCACCCTGCAGCTTTTTTGGCAATGTGGTTTTTCCCTTTTATGCTGCAAAAAGCATAGTTGTGTGCATGCATCAAGCCTGCCCATGACTATTTTTTTCTTTTATTGGTTCGTTTTTGCAGTGATACAGGTAAAATGTGGCTGTGCACGGGGCTTTTGAAACACTTTGGGGTCTTCATGTTCCTAAGCCAACGACGGGCTTTGGAGAAACATCCGCGCAGCCCAACGGGCAGGACCCGCGTTTCCGGGGCTGGGGAGTCGCGGCTGTTTTTCCCGTCCCCGCGCCGCTCCCGCCGGCACCGCGGCTCTGGCTGGGTTAAACATACCTGGAAACTGTAAATGTTGATGTCCTCAGCTAGCAAGGAAGCGCCTTTGTCCAGTGCCCCAGCATTGCCCCTTTGCGGTAAGCATCAGTTCACAGCACAGCTCAAACCAGCATATATGTATTAATATATATATATGTGTATATGTATGCTTACATATATGTTTGTATTTTAAGTATTCACAGGTAAAGTGCTAAGGGATCTTCATCTTGGCTGAAGGCTGCTGCTCCTGGGCTGCTCTGAGCACACGTGGCAAAGCCTGCGGAGCAGCAAGGCCTGTGCATGCGGAGCGGAGAGCAAGCAAAACATTTCGGTAGCTGAACTTGCCAAGGTGTGAGTAACAGCTCGCTGCCTGTGTGTTAAAGATACAGACGTGTACCAGAATGGCCGGTAAACCGAGGAAAAAGGGATGTATCTGGGGGTTTCTGGATATCAAGTCCTCCTTCAGATGAGTGGTTAACTGAGACTTTTCCAGAGGCACCGGCATAACTAACGCCCTTCCCTTCCTAAGGGAGAGAAGCAGCAACGGGACCAATGTGGCCCTTTGCCGCAGCGGCTCCTGCTCTGGTGACGGTGGAGGTGCAAGACGAAGGCGAGGAGGAGGAGGGCGCGGAGCCCTCCCCGCTCCGCAGAACCGGTGGCTTCAGCGCCTCTGTCCCCCGCGCGTCGTCTGTGACCGCAGATGGAGGCTGGCTTAGAAACCCTTGAACACCTGTGTTCAGAGAGCTCGTCTCTCTTGGGGAGGGGAAAGAGAAGTATTTAGCAAAACTGCAGGACATAGGGGATGGAGCAAAGGTTACACATCCCATGGAGAGTGCTTTGCCTTGCTCTGCCCTCTAGTTTCTTCCTTTTGTTTCCTCCTAGTGTGAGATTGTGCTCGGCTATAAATATTAACTGGGAAAAACCCGCTAAAGCAGCAGAGCAGAGTTCAGAGGCTGCTCTCGTTTGTGCTGTCCCTGCTGGCAGCGCCCGGGGGCAGCGGGAAGCGCTGGGGAGCAGCTCGTCCCGGCGTGGGACGTCCTCCACGAGGTGGGGGTTTGGGGTCAGGGACGCCGCAGCAAGGACAAACTTCAGCGGCGTGAATCGGCCCTTGAGGGGTGGCTGATCAGGTTTCATTGTGCTGCATTAAAATGTCACCAAAGCACAAGTCGCTCGAGCTGCTGCGAGATGCGGCAGTGTCCAGCTCGGCGCTTCCCTTGTTCCTCTCCTCCTCCCTCTGGCACAAGGGGATTCGCTCCTGTCCCCGGGGCAGCAGCGCTCTGAGCAGCAGCACCGGTACTGTTCAACGCGGGTTGCTGCTTTGTCAGCGCTCGCGCCTTGGGTGAGAGTAAGAGGAAACCCCCGGGGCCGCGTGGCGCCCGTGGGAAGCGATGAGCTGCAAACGGGCAAGGCCTGACTGCAGCTGGCTCTACACAACGCCGAACCAAAGAGCAACTGCAAAACCCTCGTGCGACGCTGCCAGGTGCGCGTTGTCCCCAGTGTGCGGGGCGTCCCCCACCAGCTGGGTCAGCGTGACCATGTCCAGCGCTGTCCCCGTCGGCCGTGGGGCTCCCGCAGCGTCTCCTGCCGCCGCCCCCGGGCCCC